TATATAACTCGAATCAAATTAAATTGAAAGATTTTATAAAATAAATTTGACTCGACTCGACTCGAAAAAAATGAGTCGAATAGAGTTGATCTTTAAACTCGACTCAACTTGACTCATTCAGAATTCTATTAAAGATAAAAATAATATTTATAATTTTTATTAGATAATTTATATGTAGTATATCTTCTATTTGCATCAATACATGCTTGAATTCAATTAAGTATGCTATTGATATAGTTAAGTAATATAGAGTTATCAAAATTATCATATTTCTTCATTAAAAAAAATTTCATTTGAAATTTTTTTATGCAACTAATATTTTTAATATTTTTTCAATTTTTTTAAAAACAGCTCAAATGTTGTACATTTCTATTTCAAAGGAACTTTACGACTTTGTGACTCATTTTAATAGATATTGATAGTATTGTGATTTCAGTGAGTAATAAAAAAGTTCAAAAGGGTTTTAATTTATTTTTTATTATTTATTTTTATATAAACATTCCATTATTTAATTTGATCTATAACAGAGATGCTGTGGTTTACACAAGAAGCAATGTCCCAACTGCCATTATTTTTGATAGAGATTGTATATATTCTATTTGTCTGTTTACTCAATAATTGAGTTAACGCTAATTGGCCTTTATAATTATATAAAATCTAGATAAAATAAATATTAGTATATTATTCTAGATTATAATAGTTTCTGTTTCCTAGTAATAGTAGATTTATAAACTTTAATATTCTATTTTTTGATTTAATATATATATTTAGTATAAGTTATCTTACTTTACAAGTATAAAGATAAAATTAAATTTTAGAAATTAGATAAAATGATCTTTTATTTAAAAGGCATTATTAAATTTTTTTAATAAAATGAAAGTGTATTTTATTTATACACTGTATAAAATTTAACTTCTTTATATATTTTAAAAAAGTTTTAAATATAAATTATTATAATCATTTTAATTATATAGTTATACTAATTATTTAAATTATTGGAATTTTTTATTGATCATTTAAATAATTCTAAAAAATTTAGTTATGCTGTTATTTGATCATGTATCATTAGAATTAATTACTGATTGTTTAAATTATTCTAAAATAAAAATTTGGTTATACAGTTGTTTGATTATACATATTATAAAGTCATATGATAGCACATTTAAAGAATATTATTTATATATAATGAGATAAAAATTTCTTGTATATGCAGAATATAAAGAGTACATTTAGTGTCTAAGTTCCAAGCTTGGAATCAGGCTCAAAGATGTATATAAGGAGGGTGTGCACTTATAGAGGATGCATTTAGAGAGGTCTTTCTGTAGTTGATTACAATATTTTACTTAGAAAACATCATAAAATTTATTATAAAAGTATTAATTTTTTAATAACATTTAAGAATATTTAAAAATAATTAAAAATGAGTTAATTAATAAATAAAATTGCCTACAAATTTGTAGGTAAAACAATTAAAGGGATATTTAAAATTTATATAGAAATTATTTATTACAAATAGCATTAATACTGTAATATTAATAATTGAAAAATATTACAGGTCAAGAAAGACATTGAACAAAAAATTTTAATGATTCATAAATAAAAATCACGTGTAGGTGTGAAAGTGTTGGTTTGATAAATTGATAATGTCTAAATAAAGTAAAATTTAAATGCAGTGGTTGGTTGAAGAATAATTCTATATTTTAATTTATTTTAAAGAAACTCTGGAAAAAAATTAATATAAATCACATAATTATCAAGAATTGATGGATTAGGATTTTCTGTAAACGATAATAGGTGAACGCTGTGGACTGTTATGACGAACAAAATTCTTTTAAAGTTTTATCCGCACTTTGCAACTCCTTAAATCGGGTTAGTTAAAAGTTACCAATCAAATTACTTCGTTTCTTTAAAGAGATCAACTTCAGTTTTTTATCCGATAAAATTTCGTCTAATAGAGATTTTTATTTATTATAATATAATATATATATATATATACAACTTAATATTATACAAACTGAAAACAAATTCCTGTAAAAACATGAAACGTTTGTTATGAAACATAAACATTTATGTGATAAAAAACCAATAATCAGCCGAATAAGCCACTTTCACGATTGCGCCACCTTGATAATGAATTCCACCTGGTTAAAAGTAAGATTAATTGGGTTATCAGATTGAAGAAATTTAGAAAAGGTGAAATGAAGAATATTTACAGTATTCATTAGGAGGAGGATTTCCTTCTACAGTGTTGACCCGTAGGACATAAGTGATATCGCTAAATCTTCCTTTGCCTTCATGATACTAAAAATTTTCAAGTAGAGGAGGTTATTAAAACTTTTTCAAAGGACCGAATCTGAACTGAGAGGTATACATACAGTGACCTCATTAACAAGCCATGGAAGATGCATATTTCCATCAGGTGAAACATTTGTTGCGACACTTTTCGCCACCAATAAAGAATCATCTCCTTTCACCAACGATTCCCACACGGCCCTACCTTCGTGAATAGCTAGACATTAAGGAATTGTGTTGATAAGTAAAAAAAAAAAAAAAAGATTTCATGAAGTTGGATCTGCAAGCACAAGTACTTACGTTTTTTTAGAAAGTAATGATAGGCAACTTCATATTCTGGTACAAAAGATTCAGTGCGTTTATCATTCACGCAATACGTATCGGGAGTCACTGCGCGTAAAAGGTTAAGAGAATTAAGCATTGTGGAATTAATAAGCCATCAAACGAAGATAAACTTTTTTTAAAATTACCTTGAGTCCAATTATTTGGAACACCATCTTTATTAACTACACATTTATAAATCTGCACCCCATAAGCTGAAAGCAAGAATTTGAATTTATTACCAGTTGGGACCGTGATATTCTTTGGAAGGTGAATATTTGGTTTCTCTATTTATCAAGACATAAAATTATTTATGAAATTTTTTTTTCGTTAAATTTCCGTTAAAAGTTCTAACACGTACCAGTAACGGTTCCGATTACGTTGACTTTTGGAAATTTATTATGAGGGTATGAATTTATCATTAAACAATTTATAATACAAACGATAAAAAATAACGCGAAATTCATGTTTTAATAAATATAAAATTTTTCCTTTTTTTTTTTTTGAAACTTTAATGAATATAAATACGTTTTAATTTATATGATTTAAATTAATCATTGATACGCGAATGATTCATCACTTGAACAAGGTGAATTTCGTCTTTATGATGAAATTCCTGTATAAATTCTCGTATTTTTTTTTATTTGTTTTTGACGATATCATTAATTTTTTTTAGTAATAAACTCCGAATCTACTCCGTCAAATTTATTATCGTTTTGACAGCCAAGCCTCTAGGCTTATTGTTTGTGACCAATAAAAAAACCCGCCTCCTCTACTTTTCTGGTTTTTAAACCTGTTCTTTCATTTCATTTCATTTTTTTTTGATCGTTTATTAATCACGGTCCAACCCATCCGGATGAATTTATTAAATAAAAATATCCATATACACAAAAAGAGGAAGTCCGCGGAAAACGCGTTGAAATCGGTCTAACTTGAAATGGATTCAAGGTATTTACATTGTAAACCCTATGATATTGTTGTATCTAACAATATCAAAGTTACCGAAAAATAGAAAATTTATTTAAATTTAAAATGATCGGTTTTTTTGTCCCCGAATAGGCTTAGGCCGAAAATTCCTAAAATTAGTTTTTCATAGAAAAATTTTTTTTTTGATCATAATGTAATTGAATGTTACAAAACATTTTTTGTGTGACGATCGTATTTTTAAGGACTTCCTTTTACCTAATTTTCTTTCAACTTTCTTCCGGACCAGAGTTTGTTTTTTGCGCGAGTCACCCGGTAAAAGTCGGTGCATAATTGCATGATGCATATAATGAAAGAAACCAATTTGGTTTTCGTGTTATCATAAAAAAAAAAAAATTTCCTTAATAACGTCAATGGATTTTTTTTTGTCGTTGTTGAACCATTAGGGTTTAATATACAACTCTTATTATTTATTTTAGGTAATTTGATGGTAGATTAAATATTATCCCTTCAGCCCGCATAATGTCTCTTAAACATTGTAAAACAACGATTTTTGGTTAGCGTTAGGAATACCGAAACTTAATTCTGCAAGGGAATAGCCTAAATAAACAAAATAATAATGTAAAAAAATCTATTTTTAGGGATTCAAATTCAACGATTAGTGGGATTCTTTGTTTCAAAAAAACAGCCGGTTTGTTTATTTTATTTTATTTTTTTTCATACATCATCAATTTAATTCAGCATCTTTTACTCGTACTACAAAGAGTAATTAACTTGACGATTAATAAGAATGGCTTTCTTTGAACGTATTACATTCAACATTCGACATTATTACAATTAAAAAATGAGTAAAACATTACGTACATGAAATTGATCTCGGCAAGGATACCTATTTCCTTCAATGACATTCTAAATTTTTTTAGAATATTTAGAAAAACTGTAGCAAATAAAAATACTCATTTCATGATTTGTCAAATAAATTACCTAATTCCTTTTTTTAGAAAAAAAAAACATCGGATGTTTAATTCTCGTTTAATTCTAAAAAAATCAACAAATAATATGTTTTATTTTTAATTTGTCCATTTTTAACAAGTTTTCGTTAACGGTATCACTTTTCTAGAAGAATTTCTTGCTCATATTAAAAATGATGTTAATAAACGAAAGAAAGGATTCAAAAGTAACCCTTGAACAAAATAAACCAAATTTTTTTTTTTTTTTTTGCAACGGCCGCTGGTTTCCTTTTTCAGGGAAAACAAATAATTAAAAGGATGAACATTAAATTTCGATATAAAGAATACATATTCGATTTATCGGAATCTTTGAACGGATAGATCCGTAATAACAATTTCCACTTTGCATTTAAGTTATTATTATTTGTCATTTATATATATTATTTCATTTAATTATACATCCGAAAAAATTTCCCGAGTAAATCATGTAAATGATAGAAGTAATTTGATGATGAATTTTATTATTACTGTATTAGAATTTTGTAGAAATTTTTTTTTTTTTTTTTTTTTTTTGAAGGAAATTATTACATAGTAAAGAAAAAAAATATAATTTTTTTATTTTTTTATTTTTTTTTTTTTTTTCAAAGATCCAAATGTAAAAAAAAAGAAAAAGATATATAGTAACGGAATTCAAGATTAGAATAGGAAAAGAAAAAAAAATAAAGAAAGTAGAAATCAAAATAGAGTTCTCTGGGGAGGGTTTTTTTTTTTTTTTATTTTTTATTATGATGATTATTTTATTCGATTTTTTGTCGTTTAGCACCGTTTTCATCTGATTCGCCGCTATTTTCGTGATCCTTTCCTTCAGGTCTCATCGGAATGTCACTCTTATCGCCATTCGTTTCTTCTACGCTATCAGCTTTAGGGGTAGGAGTATGGTCTTCTTGAACGTTTGGTATGGGAACGTGACAAAGTTCAAATTTCATACCATCAAGATCCGTCCAAAACACTAGCGAGAGACAATCACGTGACAAGCGAATTAAACGTTTTGTTCAAGCATATACTTATTTTTACCAAAAAAAAAAAAAAGGAATATTTACCAGCGTAATAACCAGGAACATAATCGTATTCTTTTGGTTCATCCAAAACTTTATAATCGTTTTTCACTAAAAATTCATGAAATTTATCGACTTGTTCACGAGACGAAGCATTTAATGCTATGTGATGATATCCGACTGAATATCTAACATGTTTGGATTCTTTATTTTCTGGACGAGTTGGAGAAATAGCAATTTGTCCTCCGCTAAGTGAATTAATCCACATCGTATATTTATCATTAATAATTTTCTGTTTATATCCTATTTTTTTAAAAAAGGAAGAATAAATTAGTGGGGTCAAGAACAAGATTTAAAATTTTTTTTTTTTAGAAAAAAAAAAATTAATTATTAACTTACCAAGCTGGGTTAGAAAAGAATCATAAAATTTAATACTTTCTTCATAATCACCGACACAAAGTGATAGATGATTGAAAGAACCGAGAACGGGTGTTTTGCTCATTTTTACCGGGATAAAAAAAAAAAAAAAAAAAAATTTATTCAAATTATGAAAGTGAAGAGAGAGAGAGAGAAGTAAAATTCGAGACGATGGGAATTTTCCGTATGTCCTTTATACAAAAATTTTTTCGGTGAGAAAAATTTATTGTTTACCGAATTTAGTATTTGTTGTTGTATATCTAATAAAAATAATTTCTGACTTATAAAGAAAGAAAACCGCTGTCCGATAATCCTTTTTTCAATGAAAACAACTTATTTTGTGTTTATTGACTTGAATTATTTTAGTAATTTATTGTAATAAATGAGGGAATATTGTGTAGAACTTAAAAATGATTCGGGTCCCTTAGTCAAATTTCCTATTTTAGCATGAATGTAAACTAATTTTTTTTTTGACGTAATTTGTTTTTTCCCAAATGCTTGCTTTATAACAAAGGTCAACTTTTTTAGTAAACAAATCCTGTACAAGATTCCTTTATTTTCTTTCCAATTCCAAATGTTTCATTATTACCTAAATCAAATTCCCTTGATGCTTTCCTACCTTCACATTGCTTAGTAAAAGGTATTCAATCCTTTCATTATTACATTTTACGTTTTACTAATGAAAGATTTTAATTTAAACCTAATTAATTTAGGTATTAAAGGTGAAACCTTTAGAAATTCTTCAATGACTTTTCTTCGAACCTAATTAATGATAGTTCATTGCCTATGACCTCATTAAATTCTTCCTCCGTTCCTGTTGAAAAAAATCTACAAGTTTAGTAGGTCCTCTTTAATAATGATCTTTCCGGTATAAAATATACCGAATATCAAATTTAGCTTATTGAACCTTGCCTCGAAGGAGTGAATAGTTGTTCAAAAAAATAAATCATCGGACAACTAACGCTAAACAAAGCCTAATTGAAAATAAGCTCATTTTTTATTTTTTCAAAAAGAAAATTTGACCCAAACTTAGTAACTTGAATCATAATACATGAACAATTTATCTTATTATGTATTAACACAAATTTATGAGATTAGTATATTGGGAGGGTTTCTAGGAAAATCAGGTTCCGAGAAATTTTTGATTAAAATTAAGAGCTTAATACATTTTAATCTAATAACATCAAAAACTATAATGCAATAAAAGTCTCAATTTTGCTAAAAAATTCCCGGAACCTGATTTTCCTAGTAATCAACCCAATATAACGTATTTATCATTCAAATTCACAATCTTTTTATCATTTAAGAAATTCCTTTTTTTATTTAAAGTCAATCAAACTCTTTTACCGTGAGTGAACCTACATTTTGAAAATATTAGTCTTCTAAAATAAATCTGTAATGATATTATTTATTTATTTTTTTTTTTTTGAATAATCTAAACAATCAATCAATTTTTATATAAATAATTAGAACATTCAACACACAATCTATATATATGCTGGATTCCTTGAACCCATGAAATATTATATATATTTTTTCTCTATCACAAATTTCCATTTCAAATATGGTCGACTGGTAATAATACCATATCTAAGATAAAAAAGTCCTTTCATACAAATTATCTCTTCAACTTGCTTAAAAATTTCTTATATCTTTCACATTCATTCTTCACTGGCTTCAAATCTTCCGAAATGTTAAAATAGCCACACTCTTTATAATGCCACCTTTTCATCCTTTGCACCAACTTTATCCAAGAATCCTCTATTTTTCTGTCAAGTACTCGAGTACAATAATGTTCGAATTCGTCAATATGTATCTTCTCGAATAATTTGATTTCTTTTCTTCGTCCTAATAATGTCAATCAGATATAAGTATCAAAGGTTGTTTTTAAATAAACGGACAGGTAAATAGATTATGTACCGTGCTTCATTAAAGGTACCGTGTGAAATAATAATACACCCCAAAATTCTTTTGGCGATATTTCGGAGCGTAAACACTCGACTAACACTTGTGCCGCTTGATGAAAAAATTCGTCCTATTGTATTTACCGTTATGATACTTGGTATATTTTTAATCCTGATTATACGATTAGGTGAGAAACCATTATTACAATAGATTTTACCTGGATTAAAGAATGATACAATCTATATCTTGACAAAAAATTAACGGATTCATTAGAATCCTTATCAACGGGAATACTATCTATGACTTCTTCAAAAGTAATTTTCCCTATTGGTCAAATATAAAATTAAATATGTAAATACATAAATATAAATACATATAATAGCATCTAATGTATCTTTATTCACCAGTTTCAACATATTGTGTTAGAAACATGTTGCAAATTGTTTTAAGGTTTTCATCTTTTCCTGCTCGCATATAATAAATCATGGTTGAGCCATATCTCTTTATCTGCATGTATTTAGTACCCATAGCCTAATACCAAAATTAATTTAAGTATCATTATTTTTTTTTTCCTTTAAAAAAAAGCAAGGCATGCCGTGTTAATTACCGTGGTAATACACTTCTCGTCAAATATTAATCCATTATCTTCACAAATTTTCAATATTTTTTCAAATTTTCTCTCGTTATCAAAGGGAACCTTTCCAATAAACTAACAACAAATTAAAATTATTGTTACCCGAATCAAACCTTAATAAAAAAAAATTAATTTTTAACATGATCTCTTTCTTTTGCTTACTTCTTCTATATATACTTTCCCGTATTTCTCGCAATGTTCCAGATATTTAAATCCGATCTGCCATAACGTAGAATGTGTTAATAATGGTTCTGCAAAGTTAATTAAACATCGTTCACGGCTATGACATTGAGATTCAATTTTCGTTAAGGAAGACATTGACTAGACTTTGTTTCCGCCATGAAAAAAATACTTCTTTAACTAAAGGATACAAGCTCTTTCCACCTATTATCTCATCTAAGTCGACCTTGCAAAGTAAATCCAGTAAATGCGATAATAACCACGAATCGATATATTTGCAATAACCTAATGCCTAAATAATAATTTTTAAATAAATATAAAAATCAAACCCCTCGAATTTAATAATCAAACTTTAGCATACTTCATCAATACGTTGATAAAAAATCCGTTTTAAGACTTGGCTAGTGGCGTCAGGATATACGGAAAACCTAACGAAAATTGGCCCTAATATGGCTCTATAATTTGAAAATCGTTATATGAGATTGATCACGGCCTCATGCTATTGATCACGTAACTTACTTTATATCTGAAGAATCACATCTAGGATATTTATGATAAATTAGAGAGATCAACCCCTCCAACCATGAAGAGCTCTTGCTTAAAATAGCATCAGGATCACCAGCTAATATTTTCAAAATCTTAACAAAACTCTCCTCTAAAAATTTATTTTCCAGGATTATCGATTTTTGCACTTGCCTAAAATCAAAAAAAAAAAAAAGAAATCATGATTACATGCAAAAAAAAAAAAAAAATTCTGACGCATTCATACGTGTTAAACATTGTACGCACGAACACTGTGAGAGCCAATTTCTCCAGGCCAAGTCTGTATCATGTGAAGAAATTTTTGGTCTAGACTTTATACATTTTATAACCGATTGTATGATATCGTTGATCACGATCTCTCTATTAATGTATTTATCACTTTCAACCGGAATAAGTATACTTCTTAGAAAATTAATCGCTTGCGGAAACAAGCCTCGAAGGATTAATCTAGGAAGTTTATTAAAAAGTATTAAATATGCTTAATATAATATAATTTACATGAATGAATATAATCATAGATGTACTTGTATAATCTTGACCAGAAAACCACGGTATTTCGCAGATTAGGACTTTCCCTTACTTCATTCAATTCCTCTTCTGTTAAAGCTAGAGAAAATTAAAAAATATCTGACACACATCACTGAAAATGAAAAATGGACATGTAAATGTTATAAGACATTGTCAAATAAATATAAGAATTTACCTCCCATAGGATAACATTCATTTAACCAAGTCACTAGATCCGTTGATAATCTCTGATATCTTTCAGATTTAATGAAATACATAATTCGACATAATTCCCAAATGGCCATCATATCTCTAAATGTGTTGAGCTCTCTCTGAATATGTTCATCTTTATTTGGATTCTACTTGTATAAATTAGGAATTTATATAAAATTTATATCATTAACGATAAAAGATAAAAAAACGCACAAACCTCTTGAAGAATCTTGATGTGTTTTACAATGGCGTTTACATAACTCCATGAAATATCACATAATAATTTTTCCCGCGATCTTATAACACAAATCGTACGCACAGATTACATAACCTGCCTTCATGAAAAACATGTATTACATATTTATAAATTAATTTAACTCACGATTTTTCGCGCCATTCTTTACTTGATGTTGCTCTAGATGCCTCTCGAAAAATAGAAAACGTTTCATTGTAAAACTAAAAGTGTGGGGTATATTTCGGGTTAATTTCGAAAATATCAATTAATTGGACTATCATGTGTATAATATATACACTTACTACTCTTCGAGAGTCTATATCATTTGCCAAAGAACAATTATAAACGCGAGTATCCAAAGTGTAACCCTCTTTCTTAACCTGTAAAATTACCTTTGTTAATTTTTTTTTTTAATCGACGCGTTTAATAATAATTAATAGGAGTAAAGTTTACCTTCTCAATTGGCTCTTTTCCAAAAACATAACACGTAAAATCTTCTGAACGAGTCGGGTGAAACTTAACTCCAGTACCTTGATTCGAATTAGACCAATAGTCCAGATCGTAAACAAGAGGTGGGTTAAGGTACATAATTTGCTTCTGAGTCTTTATATTAGGTTCATATCCTTCCGCTTGCCTTCCTTTTCCCTTGGTGAGCACGTTTTCCTTTAAGAAAGTTTCAGAATTTGCGGATTCCTCGTAGAATTGTGTTGAAGAGGGGAATGAACTAACACCTTCAAACTGTGAATAGTCTATCGGTGGAGGTTCAAATGTGAAAGGTGTAAACTGCATAACCTTTGAGTCATCATCTGAAAATAATGACATTATTGTGATATCTATCGCTCAAGTATGAACTAAATAATTACGTTATTCCCTTTTATTAAGATATTTTATTATTTTTTTTTCGAGTTTTGCCAGTTTTGTACAACAAGTCACAAAGATATACATCACGTGATAATTTCGCAAATATAAATACACGATATCAATAACCTAGGAAAGATAAAGTAAAGGCTACCCCTAATGGAACGGTTATATTATCACTCCCCATTGGACTTATCGCTTCAAAACAAGTGCTAGTAATTGCTGCAACTAAAGCTCCAGTAAAGTAATCCCAAGTTGAGAAAGCAGGAGGAGTCATTATCCACCAAAAGACGAACACCGAAATCAAAGTAGCAATAAAATTTGCTAGTGAACCTTCAATAGTTTTACGCCCACGAGAATCTCCTATAACTCGATATTTGCGTGCTCCATATGTTTTGCCTATTATACTGGCAAACGCGTCGCCAAATGTCATGGCCATTAATCCAGCTACATGAAAAGATTTGTAATATAGTTAGAACGAAAAGAAAAAACAAAACGAACGCAATTTAAATAATAACATACCGATTGCAAGATATGCGCGTCCACACGGGAATCCGTTTTCCCAACCTTCGTGAAACCATCCAAACAGGAAAGCGGTTGAAAATGCAAAATATACAGTACCAAGAGTAGCTCCTTCTAACGGGTCTACAAGAAAATCAAAATCAAAAACTTGAACATCTAATATAACATTTTTAATTAATTACCCATCGATTTAAACATCCTCATCCTCAAAAAAATGTAATTCAAAATCACAAAAGATCCAGTTACGAGTACCACGTATTCCCATTGATCAAATAAATATAAAAAAAAAAACATAAAGAATCCAACAGATACATGAATAACTTTACGAGAAACGTGAACAGGTATTTTATAAGTTCGTTGTATTATTTCAACGGTTAAAAGAAGAGTTGTTATAATTCCATAAGTTATTGCGAGACCTCTTAAGGTCAACGAAGTTGGTGTAGGAAGGAAAAACATTGTTTAAACTGTGAACCTTTAATGAACATTCTGTAAACAATAAATACAGCAGACCAATTTTTGTGAATTCGTTACACATATACTTTCATTTATTTTGATAATCATATCACGTGATATTAAAAGATGTTCAGAGAATGAAGACGATGATTCTTTATTGAAATGAAAAAAGATATCTGATCGACTAATTCTCTTCACCAAGATGAAATGTTCCTTTTCTTTCAATCTCTCTTTGTTTCCTCAACCATTTACGATAATCTGCTACGGATTTAACTTTTTCACCATAATAATCGGGGGCTGGATTTCGAAGCGAATGTAAGGATGGATCCGCTCTATTCTTTTGAACGTGTTTATAGAATTCTCGATCGCACTAATTTTTGAATCAATTGAATAAATAATCATGTTAATATAATTTCAAAAAAAACGAGAGCACAAAGTATCATCAATTAGGGGATAAATGAAAAAATGTGCCTCATTTTAAAAGTATTATCAATTAACTCATTCACGTACATGTTCCATTAATTTAACTTGCTTTCTATGAAATAATTTCCAAATTGAACTTCCAATGACAGGTCCCATCAACAAGCCAGTAATACCACATACTAAAGTTCCGATTCCATAAATTACAAAAGGATCTTGTCCCAATATCGGCGTAGGATCAAATTCTCTCGAAGCAACATATGCAAAACTAAACCCAAACCCTCCAATTGTTGTTGGAACTGTAACAAATCGCTCGGTTAATCGTCTTTTACGTCTTAATGCAAAATATTCATTCCAAGTCAACTTTTTTTCTTGCTTCGTAGGATAATTAATATTATTTGTTGTTGTATAGTATTGTAAGTATATTGAGGGATTTTGAATTTTTGGTATAATAAGGGTTTTACGGAACTTTGATGCAAAATTAAATGCCATTATTAAATAAAGTGAATATATATAACCGTGATAAAACTTTTAAATTGTTAACCTTTTATATACTTTTATCTAAATGTGTTTTGAACCCGGATTATTATTAATTTTTTTTTATCGAAAAAAAAAAAAACGATAAATAAAGGTAAAAAAAAATAATTTTTGATAAAAATAGATTTAGTCGGCCAATCAGAATTCTCAAGATCGTGTAACATCCAAAAAAATCTTCAATAAATTGGTTTTTTTTTTTTTTTTTTCAAATTTCGAGAGCAAAGAATTGCAATCAGTATGGCGTTATATAATTTTAAGCGGATTCAGCCGATTCCACCGGCTAATGATTTTTTGGATATCGTACTTTCAAAAACTCAAAGAAAAACTCCAACCGTTATTCATAAGAATTATAAAATTGGAAGGATAAGACAATTTTACATGCGTAAAGTTAAGTTTACGCAAGACAGCTTCGAGGAAAAATTAAAAGCAATGCTCGAAGAGTTTCCTAAACTCGATGTAAGTTTTACAAAGTTATTGTTTATGCAGCATCAAATAATTTTTTTTTTAATTTTTCTCATTGTATTTATAGGAAATTCATCCATTCTATTCAGATTTGATGAATGTATTATATGACAAAGATCATTACAAGTTAGCATTAGGTCAAATAAATACCGCACGCCATATAATTGATCAAGTCGCCAAGGAGTACGTCCGTTTATTAAAATTCGGTGATTCATTATACCGATGCAAACAATTAAAAAAGGCCGCACTCGGAAGGTAATTCATTATCCATGCAAATTTAATTAATTGTTTCCTATCTCGAAGTTTTTAATGGTTAAAATCTTGTCAATGAATTTTAGAATGGCCACTATAATGAAACGCCAAAAGGATAGTTTAGCTTATTTGGAACAAGTTCGTCAGCATTTGTCTCGTCTTCCTTCAATTGATCCAAATACTAGAACACTCTTGATCTGTGGTTATCCAAATGTTGGAAAATCAAGTTTCATGAATAAAATTACTAGAGCAGATGTCGATGTACAACCCTACGCTTTTACAACAAAGTCATTATTTGTTGGACATATGGATTATAAATATCTTAGATGGCAGGTAAATTGGTTTAACGATTTAAATATTTATATTGGAATATAATATTAAAAATACTCTTTTTGATTAGGTAATCGATACACCAGGTATATTAGATCATCCACTTGAGCAAATGAATACTATTGAAATGCAGTCGGTTACGGCGTTAGCGCATCTTCGTGCTTGCATCATGTTTTTTATGGATCTTTCAGAACAATGTGGATATAGTGTTAAAGATCAGGTTGGGAAGAATATTATTTATTCATTTGTTTTCACTTATATGTTTCCTTACGATATCATTCATAAATAATCACTTCAATTGTAGATTACATTATACCAAAATGTAAAGCCTTTATTTGTTAATAAACCGACATTCATTGTTATAAATAAAATTGATATCACGCGTCCGGAAGATTTACCCGAAGATGAACAACTAATGTTAAAAGAAATTGCCGAAAAAGAAGGTGTTCAGATAGTTCAATTGAGTTGTTATACAGATGAAGGGGTCATGGACGTGAGAAATGCTGTAAGAATATATTTTAATTATATAAAATCACGTGATAACGACACTTCTTATTCAAAGTTATTTTGTTAGGCGTGCGATAAATTGTTGGCGGCTCGTGTAGATTTTAAGCTTAGAGGAAATAAAATCAACGAGGTCATTAACAAGATCCATCTTGCTGAGCCATTAGCACGTGACGATATACCACGTCCACCCGTTATCCCTGAACAAGTTAAGGGTAGACCATTATATGATATTAAAGATTCTAAAAGACGTCAATTGGAGAGAGACTTGGAAGCTAATGGTGGCGGACCGGGTGTATATAATATTGATTTAAATAGTGAGTTATAAAAAGAATAGAAATTTAAACATTATTATATTATTTTTAACATACATTTATTGTTTCAGAGAAATATCAATTGAAAAACGATGGATGGAAATATGACGTCGTTCCAGAAATTATGAATGGCAAGAATGTAATGGACTTTGTTGACCCTGAAATTGCAGAAAAATTGGATGCACTAGAGCGCGAGGAAGAAAAACTCACCGCTGAGGGATATTATGATTCTGCAGAAGAAATGGTACGAAATAAAAGTAGATATTATATATCTACGATTTATTTATTAATTTTATGTATGAATAATATCTTATTCAGGTTGATTCGGAAGAAGAAGAAACAAAGAAATTAGCAGAAGCTATCAAAAAGAAAAAGAAATTGATTGTACAAGCTCATAGAGCTAGAAAGATGATGAAAAATCGTCCTATTATACCTAGAACCGCAATAACAAAGGTACAATTCATTAAAATGATGATATTTAATGATATTAATAAATCAATTATGTATCATCATTCAAATTTTCTTTTTTTATTACGCATAGTCTATTAAAGAAGTTGAAGAACAATTAGGTCAATTGGGGTTGGATACAAGTGCAATACGTGCACGTAGTCTAACTAGGAAACGCAAAAGGTCAGAGACAGATGATATGGATATTGATAATTCACAATCATCTACACAAGGATCACGTTCTAAAAGTGCAGTTCGTTCGAAAAGTGCTGTACGTGATCGCAGTGTTGCTGGATTAGCCGATACTAAGGTACTACAATAATATTCTTTTTATTTGAATATAGATTTTTTTTTTTTGTGTATGTTTATTAATCTTGTATCTTTTATAGGAACTAAAAGAAACTCAGAAACGAAAGAAACTGTCCCAAAGGAAACCTAATTTGTTTGCTAAAGTTGGAGAGTCTGATAGAAGTATTAAAGTTAAGAGACCTAAACATTTATTCAGTTCTAAAATGTCTAATGGAAAGAAAGACTGGCGTTAAAGTTGGTGATTTACATTATTTAAGTATTTTAATTGTTTAATTAAATACCTTGGTAAATAAATATATTTGACCAAAATACCAAAAAAAAATTAAAGAATCCTTATTATATTTTATTATTTATTATTTTAATTTTAATATGGTAATAATGGTAATAGAATAATTAGAATAAAAATAGTGAATC